TGTGCTGCAGCACTTCTTTTCACCCTCTGTCTGAAACCAGAGCCAGCCTGCTCTGATTGGTTAGCTGTTGTGGTTGGTCAACTGAGAGAGATGTCAAGAGATGTCCCGTCACTTAGCCTATCTCATACAATGTGTTGGACCGATAGCCAATAGAAACGCTAGTGTTACATACAGTAGTGATGTCATTAGGTTACTTAAAGTGGACCTATCATGCTATATTTGAATAATATATTGTAGGGCCATACCTATATAAAACATGTCTGTGAAGTTTTTTTTTTCAAAATACCAAACAGATCATGCATTTTAGCCATGCCAGGGGGGCGAGGCACGAGCGTCATGTTACCATGCTGTTACCATGCTGTTACCATGCTGTTACCATGCTGTTACCATGCTGTTACCATGCTGTTACCATGCTGTTACCATGCCGCGGCAACCCCCATTCCCCTGATAGGTGGAGAGTTGCCCATATAGGCGGAGCTCCTTGTTTCTGACATCAGAGATATTTCAAATATGTATCAACCTGTATCAGATCCGTTTTTAGAGATTTGGGTACGGAGGAAAAGAGAGAGGGTTGTGTTTACTGACACTTGGTGAGTTCTCTGGAACACCGGGGACACATATTCATGTATAAAAGACGTACAAAAGTGCATTTTAAATGATAGGTCCCCTTTAAGTAACAAAGGGGTCCAAATAAAGGTGCTTCAGGCAGGGAGGACCTTTGCAGACCGTTTACACTCACAAAGACCTATACTATATCACTCACTACAGGAAAGGGAAACAGCCAGTTTCTGTCATGATAAAAAAAAAAGTATTGGATCGGAAATGCTTCTTGTTTTGAGCTGTCCCCCGTTCAAATGAAATCGCCGCCAATCATATTTCCATGCTCGCGCCAGGGCCGGGGGAGGGGTTACAAGGCTCGCGTCTTGTGCTGCATTCACTTGCACTCGGACATTAGAGATTTTCTCTCGTAAAAAAAAAGTAACTAAGAAATAGATTTTCAAAACCCTTAAAACTACCAGCTTAAACCTCCACACACACACACACACACACACACACACACACACACACACACACACACACACACACACACACACACACACACACACACACACACACACACACACACACACACACACACACACACACACACACACACACACACACACACACACACACACACACACACAACACACACACACACACACACCACACACAACACACACACACACACACCATGTATACATCACTTCAGGGGACATTACATTGACGTACATGCATTTCCTGGAGACTTATCCTAACCTTAACCATAACCAACACATGCCTAACCCTAACCAAGTCTTCACCCTAAAATTAATGATTCCTCTTATGGGGACCTCCAATTTGTCCCCATAAGGGAGGCGAGTCCCCACACGTGACTATGTAAACAGATGTAGGTCCCCACAAGTATAGTAATGCTAGACCACACACACACACACACACACACACACACACACACACACACACACACACACCACACACACACACACACACACACACACACACACACACACACACACACACACACACACACACACACACACACACACACACAGAGATTAATCACGGCCCACGGTGCTGACCTCCCTCTGCCTGACATCAGATCAGGAGCGGGATACAAATGTAATCCCCCGTATCTCCCTTACTTATCTCCCCCCGCATGAGAGATCCTCTCTATCTCTCACCACAGATGACCGGGGGATGTGCCGGTGGCGGGGGGTTCAGAACGTGCCTGAACACACACACGTCCATTTTCTTAGACAAACAAACATCAAGGCACCTCAATTACTCTGATGGTCTCTATCACCATACGAGGTTTCCTGAAAATGAAAATGCTCTTTAAAAGTAAATGTGGTTTTGCTGCAGTGATTAAGCTTGTTATCAATGCACTGCTTGTTATTGGCCGGTGTGTGCAGCTAATAAACGTCACGTATGATTTGTCTGTCTGCGAGCAGGAGAATGCCGAGCGCTCTCTCCAACGTGAAAACACACTTTAGGCCTATAACCATAATTGCTTTGCAAACCTCCAAAGGGTGTTGTTAGTACATTGTGTAGCGTAATCGCAGCACGATTGTAACCGTTATAGATGCACATCGCGCCAGCTTGGCTCTCACCCATGCAAACCCAGCGAGTGGAACATATTAATTATCCTCCTTGGAGCTCATCTGCTTGCCTTTACTTTAGGAGTGATTTAAAAGAGAGAGAAAAAAGGCAAAATCGGCTTAACTTGGAAAAAGCACGGCAATTAATTGTGATCTCATTTAATGAGCACTCACTTTGCCCTGTTAATGTGTCTAATTACCAGTCAGGCAGGAAGTGGTATTGACTTTGAATGGCTGCCACTAGACGTTGATGAAGGGGCTGATGGGTAAATACCACATGAGGATGTATAACAAGTGCAGGCAAATTCCACAGGCTCCTCTAGATGGATGAAGAGCTGCACAAACACACCTTCACACACAGGAAGGTATCACACACACACACATTCTATCACCGTTCTGATGCACTGATGTGTGCGCTGCATAGTAATTTGCTTATATGTGTGTTTCAAATGCACATACACACACTTAGTCAAACATTACTGATAGAAACTGTTGAAGACTGGAGGAGAATCTGCACTTCTTAAACCTCCATGTCGTGAGTTTGCCATGTTTGACTTCAATCTTTATACACACAATGTCAATGAGAAGAAGTATACCAGTATGGTGCAGGACTCAGGAGAGAGGAGACTGTTATTATTCTTTGAAAATGGTTAAGTAAAGCCCGCTGACATCTAGGGATGCACGATATTGGTTTTTTGAAACCGATACCGATAACTTCCTGCTTCTCAAGACCGATACCGATAATAATATATATATATATATATTAAATGTACCTGTAGTTTTTGCACACCTGGTGGTAAACAAAGACTAGTAGTGAGCAAATGACATGAGCATTACTACTATGAACAAAACAAAGCCAAGAACAGTTTTGACTCTTCAAAGTGACCATATTTATTTTCCCAAATAAAGTTCTTGCCTTTTTTAAAAGCCTCGTCGATAGGTAAAAGCCCCGGTGCCTTTGCAGCTGGCTTTGGATTCGCCGCTAGTTTAGCAGCGCAGGCGTCTTCATACGCTTTTAACACACCATCGTAGCGATGGAGATGTTTCAGGAGACTAATCAGGTTGGAAGTATTATAGCTCGTTGCCTTTTTCCCTCCTCGTGGAACTTCTGCATTGCATTTGTTAATACAAATAGCAAGCGAACTATCTAACTCTGAAGCTTTGAAATAGTCCCATACTACCGGCGACATGTTTGTTTACTGTCCTGGCTTCATGGCCGCACACCATTTACGTCACAGCCAGGCATGAGTTAGGGAGCGCTGGATTTGTGAAGAACTCCCCTCTTCCTAAACCACTAATACCACAGTACTGGCAAAACGGGAGGAGCCGAGTGAAAAACAAGCGCCCCTCATCCCAATCCACCCACACCGCAGTATTTCTTTCTTTTTTTTTACCCAAAATATATATTGTATATTATCGGGGCTATTAATACTTTTATCGGGTTTATCCGGATGACGTCATAATTCCTAATATCGGACCGATAATTATCGTGCACCACTACTGACATCCAATTGCTGCAACATCGTAATGTTACAGAAGTCTGCAGATTCAGCTCAGATACACTTATGAAGTATGGAGATATAACAGCACATTTTCTATGCCTTTTATACCAATGCCTTATCTTCACACGGTAGCTCACCCAAATCAATAAGCAGGTCTTCTTAATGGCTGCATTGGATTTTTTGTACTTTAGAATCAATGCGCCGATTGATTTGAAAGGGATATAAATGACTAGATTAGCTGAACCCATGCATCCTTATCTAGTTAGTAATCTAGCCTCTTCTATTCTGCCAAAGCTCTGTTCAGCCAGGAAGACGACTTACAATCGACGGTTCGAGTGAAGGCACGAAACCTTAAAACAAAGTTATATCATCAGACTGCTTTCTCTCGGTCAAGAGGTGGCTACATCACACCTGACCTGCCTCCAACTAAACCAATAACACTCATAACTTCACCGGCATTGCCTTCGTAGGTCTGACTACATTTCCTCTGTGTGTTCTCCTGCAGAGTATCATCTTGTTGGGAAAATACTGAATGTCCTCTTCCAATATGAGAGTAACATGATAGCAAAGGTATCCCAACTGTAGCTGTGAACATGACAGGATGTGTGATTACCTAGAAGAGCGTCAGGACTGTTTGAGGCATATGATAGCTATGTGATTAACATGATGATTCAGCCTCTATGGAGAGAGACATATGACAAGCATGCTCATTTCTGACGTGGAGCTAATCTGAAGTAAACATTGAATACAGCTTTCTATTCCTCCATCTTGTGACTGTGTAACTCCCTCTCTTGGATATCAGTATGTGAAGGACACTGTTCAGGAACTAGTTGATGCTCTGTATGTGATGACTACTTCCATTCTGGAGAGGATCACAGATACATGGATCCTGAGATTGAAGCTCAAGCCGGTGACCAGTGATTATTAAAAATGCTAAGTATTCAGAAAAAGTCAGAATATTGTCATTTTGAGAAAAAGTCAGAATTTGGAGATTTTGTGAAAAAGTCAAGATTTTGAGAAAAAAGTCAGAATCTTTAGAACAATTCAGAATTTTTTGAAAAAGTCTACAAGACCCGGTATCCCTCCATCTTGTGACTGTGTAACTCCCTCTCTTGGATATCAGCATGTGAAGGACACTGCTCAGGAACTAGTTGATGCTCTGTATGTGATGACTACTTCCATTCTGGAGAGGATCACAGACACATGGATCCTGAGATTGAAGCTCAAGCCGGTGACCAGTGAGATTTTTCTAACACATCTAAAAGAGGTTTTTCAAGTCTCGCTTTCCTCTGAGATGTTCTTATTCAGAAGTAGTGAAGGTGTTAGCAAAGAGATGTTTTCCTTGAAAGACAAAGCCTACCTTTGGTCGGCTCACAGCGCTTGGGCAGATCGATTGTGTCGTAGTTTTTGTCATTGTCACCGTTTTTCCTGCCTGGGTAGAGGAACAGGAAGGAAGTCAAAGTTAGTATTATATCCCAAATCAACTTTAATATAAAGGCACCAGGGTTAGACCAATATGTGTTTTAAAAGACAGAGTAAAGCTGCTAAAATTCAGTGGCTACATCCATTTGTGTATTGCCATATTGGTCTAATCCAGGTCTTAACAACACACATCATGAATGCGTGTACACAGTGCAGAGAACTAGAAGCGTGATATGTTCAAACACACACGTACATGTCACACTGTCTGCTTTTTAACACACCAGCATGACAACAAAGATGAAATAACTGTAGTACCAGGACACAAACACACATATAACGGACACAAACACACATATAACGGCATACAACTTCAACAATCACTTTGCTACTGTAACTAATGCAGTGAAAGAGGGAGAAGGTCATCTCACATGCACATGGACTAACAGGGATATCAATTAGATGAAAAAGAAAACTTCCAGTCACTAAATATGACCTGTGAAAATGCAGCACACAAACTTTCTTTAAGCTCCTCAAACCAATAGTTCAGCGTTTCAAGAGAATACACTTTCCTGCAGAGAGTTACAGGACTTGATTCATGTCACTGTACTGTTGCTGTATGAAACACTACACGACAGGCAGCAGGTGATTAGCTTAGGCTACATTAGTTCATGCACAGTGGTATTTATCTTCTCACCCAACTCCCATATTTTCACAAAATGTCAAACTACTCCTTTTGGACCAATTAGGGAAGAACTATTAAACATATAACCGGCTGCTGTATATTTGTATAACTGGTGATACTTATAGTAGCCATCTTTGCACTCTCTATGAAAAGTTTTTTGCCCTCCCTCGCTAATCAAAAATGATATATGTTCATCTATTTAAGTGCTTTTAAACCAATTTAGATTTCTTCACTATTAAATATTGAGGTGGGGGCTCATCAGCTGTGATCTAAGGACTCGATAAGACTCAAGGCTCCTCTGTTAGAATCAAGGAAAGGCTCCTTTTAGAGATTTTGCTCTGGACCTTAACCACACTTTAAATATGAATTCCCTGATCATCTAAGGACAATTTAGAAATAAGATATATATATATATACTAATGATGTTTGTTTTGAGTTTCAAATGTTCAGTTTCTCTTGGTATATGGTCCGCCATATACTCCGTACAGCAACCCAACTAGGACACTTGACACAGTGGCGTTTGGCAAAGCAGAAAAAGAACACTAATAAAACCGAGAGAGATTGTTATTACAACGTGACTTCACTATTATTTAACAACTATTTTTATTGGGTTCTTTTATTATATCATACTGAATAAATATTTACTGTGAATGTATGCAAAAATGTATCTCACTTATTCTGACAATGTACTTAACCCCAAATAAAAGAACCCAATAAAAAGAGTTGTTAAATAATAGTGCAGTCACGTTGTAATAACAATCTCTCTCGGTTTTTTGAGTGTTCTTTTTCTGCTTTGCCAAACGCCACTGTGTCAAGTGTCCTATTAGAGTTGCCGTATGTAGTTGTCCAATATGGCGGACCATCTCGCACATGCGCAGTGCAGATCGGGCAGGGGGGCAGATCGGGTAGTGACAGGGGCCGTTTCTCAATCGCGAGGAAACTGGCTTCCAAGCCAATATTTCACGGATGCTACGTCATCGAGTGCCGCCGAAGGACTGTTCCAATCTCCAGCATACTTGGAATTCCACCGAGGCCGCGTCCTTGGTTTGGGGGTAATTTCGAGGCTGCACATGGGTAGACTTTGCGTCCTTCAAATCCCCACAATGCTTTGCACACGGATCAATTTCCCCAAATCTGTGATGGAAAATGTAAGGCGGGGCCTCTCATATGACGCACACCTGCACACTTGCTAGCCTGTTCCACTCTTCGTTTTCTGAATGCCAGGAAGGATTCTTGCCTCGCTTCTGAAGGAAGTGACTCGGAAGACATGTGCTACCAAGCAAGCATCCTCGCGATTGAGAAACGGCCAGGGGCTGCTGTTAACGTTGGTGTGTACAACGGAATTGTGCCATAACTTCTGGCAGGGGAGTTCCACGCGCATGCTCCACTAGCGCCCACCCCCACCCCTCCCGTCGACGTTCAATACCACACCCCCCACCCCTCCCGTCGACGTTCAATACCACACCCCCCCGTCGACGTTCGCAAAACAGACACATAACCTTGCGGTGGCAGCCCTGAGTACCAAACATTGTCTCCTGGTGCTCATTTGAGTGACTCACACAGAAAGTGATGTGCACGCCTGCCTATAGGCATCATTGAGCTGAATTGATTGGGTTTAAGCATCTACATGTTTGCAGGGAAACACCTACATTGTAAGGATAGCCAAATGTGGCCCACATCTTAGATATTGGAAGCTTCACTGCACTATAATCAACATCAGGAATCTATATTCTTCAAAGTCAAACACACACACACCAACACACACAACAGGGTCTGTAGCAGAGCTTGACATGTATGCTTAGACCCCACAAACAGATTGGAAGAGGGTTTAAGTTTGATTCAGACACGATCATTGTTTTAAGGTTCATCTTAGAGTCATTTGATTAGTCAAGCTCTGCTTATCATCCCGATAGACTTACCTGATTCATCAAGAGCTGCCTTTACCTTTCACCTATCTTAGAGGAACAACTAATGCTATAGGGGGGGGGGGGGGGGGATCTATAACACTCAGGAATAGGGAGGTGATTGGATGCATGTACAATTAGTGAGAAACCCACTTTTTCTAAAGTTGTTGGAACTTTTCTTAGCTTTTGGAGGACACCCACAACTATTTCTACGATATTCTACAGCCATGGGGGAGGAGGAGGAGGAGGAGGAGGAGGAGGAGGAGGAGGAGGAGGAGGAGGAGGAGGAGGAGGAGGAGGAGGAGGGGGACTAAAGTGAGAAGAGTTGAGGGGGGGCACTCACCTTGATTAAACCATTCCTCTATAGTAAGCCAAGGAAGCAGCGGCAATGCCAAAAAACACAAAGCGGGAGAAGAGAGAAGAGTCATGGTGAAAAAGACGTGTGGGTGTGTCAGGAAGCAGTGCAGCAAATGTGAACAGTTTGTACAACTTTTAGTGAAGATGTGGAAGAGTGGAGCAGAAAACTGAAAATCAGAGAGCAGAGAGAGCAAAGGGGGAAGAGAGGAGGCTAGATGGGAAGCTATTAGCAGTCCAGAGGTGTTTTCTGAGAGTGGGGTGGCTTTTTAACAGAGACATGGAGACAGGAGCAGAAAAAGTGTGAAACATAACAATATGAATACAGAATACTCAAGCAAAGGACACATACATGAAAAGGAGTCATTTTCATATTCAGGGTTCATACACTTTTTCACCAATGATTTTCCATGACTTCTCCAGGACCTTTACCTGATTTTCCATGACCAAAAAAATAACTCTCTCTCAGCGTACCACTGGAAATGGTTTATTTGAACATGGAACAGGAAAATAAGGTCTGCATCTGAAACATGTCGTGCCGATCTAAAACAAATCCAATAGTAGGCTTACTAGCTTCTACACGCTAAAGCAACTCAAATCTCTCACCAGCAAAACACCTCGTCAGTTAAATGCCATTTTACGTTTCATTACGATACAGTATTTATTATCATTATAGTATTACTATTTCGGCGCTTAGATAAAATATTAATTATATTTGTTGCAACTTTAGTTACGTTTCCATGACTTTTCCAAAACTTTGGGAACAATATTGTTTTCCATAACTTTTCCAGGGCCTGGAATTAGCATTTTGAATGACTTTTCCAGGTTTTCAATGACCGTAAGAAACCTGCATATGGAAGAAATTAATATAAAGTCACGGTGAAGCATATTCGTAACAGCACAGAGAGTGTCTGAGAGTATTATGTGCGCTAAGAGACGGAAGTAATAGCCTGTTTATTAACTAAAACAAAGCTTGAGAAAAAAGCGCCTGAAGGAAAGAGTAGTCAAGTAGCCACAAAACATTTTAGGCTAGCAATATACTTGGAAAGAAAGGAAATAATAGCCAATAATAAGCCAGTTTATCAGCTAAAGAAAGCTTGAGAAGACAAGAGAAGTAAAATAGCCAGAAAAGAGTGACAAAAAGTGGAAAGATATGAATATAAGCCAACAAAGGAGAGACAGAGTTGCAAGATTGGAGGGCAGTATAGACTCAAATTGAAGCATGTACGTAACAGCATTTGTTTGAGTGTGTCTCTAAAATCACTGCCTGGGAAAAGAAGAACACAATGGCAGTAAAATAGCCAGAAAGGCCCAATAAAAATGGGAAGTAATATGAATACAAGCTAGCAAAGAAGAGAAAGAGTAAAGAGATAAGAAGGCAGTATCAAAATGAAGCATATGCATTACATCACAGCTAAGAGACGCTAACAGCCAAGCATCAGCCTGTTCAGCTACATTAGCATTGAAGATGGGATATAGTCAAAGTGAAGCAGATACATAACATTGGTGTCATGGTTTTGGATTTATGTTTTCCACCTTTGTTTTGAAATGTTTTCCTCTTTGTATAATGTCTTGTCCCTCTCCCTAGCCTCATCCCAATACTCCTCCTCGACTCCTCCTTTCCCTTACTCGCTTCCCTTCCTTGCGTCTTAGCTCCGCCTCCGTAAGATGCGAGCGAGAGACACGAGGAGGTGACGCGAGGACAGAGGAGTATTAATTGGGATGTCTGGTCCCTCTCCCTGTCGTTAGTTTCCCTGGTGTGTCTAATTGTCTGAGTGTGTTCACCTGTTGCCCTTGTGTTTTTCCTCCCCTGCCCAGCTGTGTCTTGTCCTGTGATTACCCTTCTGTGTATTTAGTCTTGTCTTCCCCTGTGCTCCATGTCTGTTTGTCGTCATTTCATGTCACTGTCACCTATGCTTGTCCGTGTCTCCTGCCTGTTCCCGTATGTAAGTTTGTTCCCGTCTGTCGTGCTCCCCGGTTTTGTTTCTGTTAATTAGTTCCTTGTTTTTTCATGCCTTCGGCTTTTTATAATAATGCTCGCTTTTTGTTAACAACCTTTTTTTTGTATTTTTTAACTGCACTTGGGTCCTATTTCCCCCAAACCTGACAATTGGTATAAGTGCGTCATTTAATTCTGCCTGGAAAGAGCAGAAATACACGCTAAGACACAGACATGAGAGCCAGGCATCAGCCTGAGCTGCTAAGCGCCAGTCGAGCGTAACGGTATATTTAATACTGAATGTGACATTAAACTAAAGCGCAGGCCAAACGTAGCCTACTTAAGGTAACAAATGACCCAGCGTTCTGCCGACAGAGCCGCTTAACTGCCCGCCTCTGCGCTCCTTTATAGCCACGTTTAATGTTTCTGTACCTGAGCCTCGTTTCCTCACGGAACGCCTCGGGGCTGAGCAGCTAAACACATCTCATTATTCACAGCATGTGTGTGTGAGAAAGTATTTACGTGGTTAATTGGTTACTCTGTATACATGTACGCTGCGCGTCGTCCTGACCCCTGAACCGAAGGATTGTCCAATGAGACGTTAGGAGTCGAGGGTCACCGGCTGGTAGTCACGCCTCATTGGCTGACTGATTAACGGCGGCCATTAAGGGTGCACAGCAGGGAAATAACGGTGTCGTTCAGGCTGGTGAATGCTGACAGTGTTTACAGTCACAGTACCATAACCCTACAGTGATGAGACCTTTGTCTCAAATACAAACGGCCTCATCCTTAATGTTGGCAACCACTGAAAACCTGTTTATGTTGCTTAAACTTGTTCCAATGTACTTTGTATTTAAAGTGTTCATTTAAATCTAGCAACATTGAAGAGAATAAATGGCTGGATTTGTTAGTGCCGCTGTAAGTCTTTAATAACTGTTTTATGTATTATTGTGAGAATTTTCTACAAACAAAATGGTGGGAAAATATGGTTGACTTTGAATTGTTAATTGTAATCAACTAATTGAAGAGCGTTAACACATACTAAAATAAATAAATACTAAAATATATTAGTTTCTGGATGACCCACCCACATGATCAAACATTGTAACGTGTTTATGTATAATTTAAACCCTATTTGCAAGACTATAAGTCTACATGCACATTATATTGGACAATTTACATTTCCTTTTTACATAGTCATTGTTAAAGGTGAATTGTATCAGCCCTGCACTCAGGGAAAACAAACAATGCAATCAAATATCGCTAAGAAAAGGAAAACAAAGGAAATAATGGTATCTCAGCCATACAGCTGTTTGAATAACTCGTATGCTCTCCATCCATTATTATCTCATCCTCAAGAGTCCTTCAAAGTAAATGAAAAGAAGGCTAAAGAAACAATGATAAGGAATATTTTACACTTTTCTGTTTTGCAATACAAATCACATGTATTCCAATCTGACACATTATTATAATATGTATTAGCAAGTGTCTTATTGAAGAGGCAGAGATTTTGGAATGCCTCCACTTTTCTGATCAGTGGTTGTTACATCTCCTCCCTCTCCTTATTTTCCATCACACATACCTTTAGCCTTCTTCCCTCCGAAGCAGCCGGCGTCGTCCTTCTTCTTCCTCTGTGGTCCCGCTGAGCCGGGGGTCTGCGGCGCCGAGGGGTCCTGGAACCTCTCGGCGCCCGGCACCTCTTTGTGGACGTGATAGGACAGATTCCTCATGATGCACACACAGTTCTCCACAGACTAGGAGGTCAAAGAGACAGAGTTGTTGTCATTTTGTATAATTATATGAACTTTTTGCATTAAAGGTCCCCTATTATAGTGTTTTTCATCAATATATTATAGGTCTCAGATATATTCAGAACATGTCTCTGAAGTGTTTGGCTCCAAATACCAAACAGATCATTGCAGCATTACCCATAATCCCCTCTGTTTCAGCCCTGTTTCCAAAGTGCTGATTCTCTGTCTGTCACTTTAGATGAAGTGCCCCTCCCCACGCCCCTCTGAGAGAGATTTGGTACAAAGAACACAATGGTGCTCAAGGAGGAGATTCAGGTGATAAGGGGGGGGTGATACCTTGGTTGGTGATTAGCCGCTTTCACACCAAGTACTTTGCCGTACTTAGTTCCCAGCACTTAGTACCCCCATGGAACTAAGAGCAGATCGCATTCACACCGGAATAAGTTCCCTGGGGGAAGATTACGCAAAAGAGCCGCTGACGTCACTTCTTCTTCTTCTGCTTTGGGACTCCCAGCAGCTTCTACTGTACCGAGTAAATCGCCAGAACACCGACACCTCCTCATCACTCCCATGTTTTTTTTCGTGTTGCCATAAGTTATTCTCTTTGCGTTGGTGCGCGGGGCTAATGCTAATGCTAATAATGCTAATGCCACAATACAATGGCGGCTTCACAAAACTTTAATTTTTACGGTTTGCAATTCGCCCAGCCAATAGAAATTGGTACTTGTTTGGTACCACCTCTCAGCAGGCACTAACAATGGGGGTAAAAGTTCCCGGCACTCTTAAAAGTTCCCCCTACTCTTTTTGGCAACATAAGGGGTACTAACGGAACTAAACGGGAAAAGTACTCCGGTGTGAATGCGCCTATTGGCTAATGGTTACTCAAGCCAAAAAAACGTTATGACATCATAAAGTGGCTAAAATCTGATCAGCTCATTTTCAGACAGGTTTTTATAGAAATGGATCAGGACAAAAGGAGAGAGAATCTTTTTTCCTGAAACTTTCAGAATCTCTTTACACAGAGGGGACACATGTTTATGTAGAAGAGACATGAAGAAGAGGGGACACATGTTGATGTAGAGGAGACATGAAGAAGAGGGGACACATGTTGATGTAGAAGAGACATGAAGAAGAGAGGACACATGTTGATGTAGAAGAGACATGGAGAAGAGGGGACACATGTTGATGTAGAAGAGACATGAAGAAAAGGGGACACATGTTGATGTAGAGGAGACATGAAGAAGAGGGGACACATGTTGATGTAGAAGAGACATGAAGAAGAGAGGACACATGTTGATGTAGAAGAGACATGAAGAAGAGGGGACACATGTTGATGTAGAAGAGACATGAAGAAGAGGGGACACATGTTGATGTAGAAGAGACATGAAGAAGAGGGGACACATGTTGATGTAGAAGAGACATGAAGAAGAGGGGGACACATGTTGATGTAGAAGAGACATGGAGAAGAGGGGACACATGTTGATGTAGAAGAGACATGAAGAAGAGGGGACACATGTTGATGTAGAAGAGACATGAAGAAGAGGGGACACATGTTGATGTAGAAGAGACATGAAGAAGAGGGGACACATGTTGATGTAGAAGAGACATGGACAAGTGGATTTTGCATAACAGGTGACCTTTAAATATATGTGTTTGTTGAGTAAAAACGGCACCTTGTTGTCCATGTCTTTCTTCCCGACAGCTGATTGGAGGGCGTGCAGCAGGGCGTCCACCAATCCCTCGCATTCCCTCAGTCTGCGGCGAGCCTCGGCCCCGTCGGAGCTCACATTTCTGTAGAAAAGAAAGTCAGACATATACAATGAGCAGGAGAGAGGAATGTAGAGGAACAACAACGAGATGTAACCACACTGCAGGGATAGGATTCACGACACAGCTCTTCTGCAATTTCTGCAGCTATTCGGCGACAGATGATTAAAATTGTGAGGGAAGATATGTTATACTTAAGATTGAGAATCCTTGAAAGTATATATACCATACGATGTAAGATTTCTATGGTATTTTAAGGGTTTATTGTAGTTGCCACTAGTCATTATCTTAAATGTAATCAAATAAACAACCGAAATCCACTAGGCAGCACTACCATTACTCTTACTGTTAGTTGTGTGATTGTTTATTCAACTGCTAGTACTATTACTTAATAATGCAAGAAAGTAATACAAAAACTTACAACATAAAAAACTAAAAAGGTCTGAATGTGTGGGTGCATGTAAAACCTGTTTCTGATAGTGTTGTTTTTTGTCTTCACTCATTAATTTCAGTTTCTGACATTACAATGAAATCCTACTTTTTTAGTTTTACGGTTCCCACAGAAAGATCTTTTTCAGACTGGATAACAATGACGTGCAGATATATAACCGTTAAATAAGACATTGAGATTGTTTGGGTTCACACGTGACCCTTTATCCTTCCTGTCTGCCTCAAAAGTACAAAGCAATAAAAGCCAGACTGCTCAAGGAATAATCTTAAAAGAATGATGAATATAAATGTATTTCTTGCTACAAAGGGAGATGCCATCCTTGTTTCATCAGCCGGCGCTCTGAGCTCAGCTCCTTTAAACTCAGCACAGGGTTAGTGCTTCTGTGAGACTGAGTGTGAACCGAGAGGCTTTAAACCGAGTTAAAGGATAGTCAGGGCTCCCTGCTCCTCACCGGGGACTTCATTTATGAGGGCTCCCAACACACATAATCCCATTAGTCTAGTCATATGTCTTTCAGAGGTAAGCAGAGATACAGTGTGGCCTGAAACCCATAACACATTAGTCTAGTCCAGTGTTTCTCAAACGTTTTCATACCAAGGACCACTTAACCACTAAAAAAACACTCGCGGACCACCTAACTCCACAAATATCCAAAAAACACATCGTTTTTTACAAATCGCCTGAAAATGGTACAAACAAGTGGCAACATGTGTGATGAAGGTGTTGCGCTGGGCTATATCATGCAATCGAAAGTGAAACTTAAGCTCGCTCCATTGCGGAGATATTCCCGCGAGAGTGCGGAAAACTTACATTTATTTATTTATTTCAAATGTGAAATGTTACCAATATACTCACGGACCACTAGGGGGCGCTCACGGACCACCAGTGGTCCGCGGACCACACTTTGAGAAGCACTGGTCTAGTCATATGTCTTTCAGAGGTAAGCAGAGATACAGTGTGGCCTGAAACCCACATCACATCCAACTGTGCTACAGAGTGGTGCAGTGTTGACGTATTTTTGTAGGCCGACCCGGAAGTAATAACGTAATGGGATTTCTCCATAGGCTTTTGGAATATTGTAAAAAATAAGATCTGTGGAAAACGAACCTGTTAGATAAATGCACGTTTTGTTCAGCCGGATAATATACACGTCTATTCTATATGAGGTTTCCAAAAAGGACACTTCTGTCAAGTGATTAATTAATTCATGTGCATGGATGTACACCCCCACCCATTGACCCACAACCAGGGGTCCCAGACATGTCATTTAGCTGAAGCTTTTATACAATGTGACTTACATACATCCATACTGTAGACATGCCTACAGGAGCAATTTGACATTTGAAAGAACATACATAACATTCATCTGTTTGCAACTTACATATTGTATCAATATTGCAATGACTGTATATAGACTATTCTGCACAGTTGCTATCATATTCTGTTTCGATTATATTCTATTTGATTTACTGTGTTGCACTGTGAGAGGAGCCTGTGACCTAAGTCATAACTACTGCTATGCACACATGACAATAAAAGCCTTGAAACCTTGAATTTGGGGTTGAGTATTTGAACAAACAAATTTGCCTACAAGTGCCGGGTATCAAACTACTGACTGATTGGGAGACGCCCTTTAACCCCCGAGCCACAGCCACCCATACTATGGTTTATGATCCAAAATTGGGACCCTCATTTCCCTACATTCACTACACGCATGAAACCTTCCTGAAACATAATTGTATAGGCCATAAGTCTGCGTAGATCATCAACATTTTGAAATGTTATCCTTTTATTTTATAATTTTCATCTACAGAACAGGAGGGTATTTACCTAAAATCACACAATTGAAATAAATAACTTGACTGTATTTTTGTATTCAAATCATACTTTGATTTACACAAAACTTGCCATTTATAGTCATCGGTTTTTTATTTTAAGTTATTATAATAATCTCCTTAGAGCTCGTATATGACCGTTACACAGGTCATAACTCCCTCTGTCAAATCTTCATTACATTGTTGTGATAAATTCCCCTTAAAACAACAGGTTTCTCTTTCTCACCAAAAACTACATTTGACAAGATTACCTCTGTAGCCATCATGATGATAACATTACTCATTATACATGAAGAGAGCTTGAACACGTCATTTTGTAACTGTCACGATCTTAGTTTTATGTCACGGTTTTAGTTTGGTCTGTCTTGTCATGGTTTCATTTTGCAATTCTGTTCTCCCTGTGTCTTGTCTTCCTCCCTGTCGTTAGTTTCCCTGGTGTGTCTGATTGTCTGATTGTGTTCACCTGTTGCCCTTGTGTTTCTCCTTCCCTGCCCGGCTGTTTCTCGTCTCGTGATTACCCCTCCCTGTATTTAGTCTCTTCCTGTGTTTGGTGTTGGTTCATTATTTGTCGTTCATGTCTCCCTTCATGTTGGTCACAGTCACCTTTTGTTTGGATGCTACCTCGTGCCTGGTCATGGATTCTTGTTTTTTCAGCTTTTGTGAATAAAGCTCGCCTTTTGTTTCATTTTGAAACCTGCTTCCCTCCTCAATCTGCATTTGGGTCCTATTTTTCCCCAACCCTGACAGTAACTCAGTGTAACCTACATTAAAGATATCAGGCTCTCCTCAAGCTATGGATTTGTTGCTTACATGTAGCATTATTACCATAGACCTCTATTTTGTCTTTAATCTGTATGTAAAACTCCATAAATATATACACCACCTTAAATACAACAGACTGTCATCTTCATGCCCAGTGTGTGAGTATCTCAGCTGTTTATCAATGGAGAGACGTACAGAAGCATCCAGAAGTCAGTGCTAATTCAAACTAATCTTTGGAGGAGGGCCGGCAGTTGGACTCTCTCATAAACTAAAGCCATCCGTCTACAGCTGTCAGATATCGGTCACCACCTCCCCTGTAAATGGATCCAGAGTGGCGGCCGCACTGGATTTATTTGACAGCAGTGTGTTTCGGGCAGACTCAGAAGAGTTTTATTGTCAGCTGTTTCATTTCCAGGAGTCTTTCAGGGAGCAGTTGTCCTGGTCGGAGGTTTATGTGCGTCTGTCAGTGCAGAGCGAGCAGGTGGAGCTGTGATTTTAAGTGGAGGTCAAGGTACTGATGAGTATTGATCTTTCTTGTAGTTTACCATCTGTTGTAGTGTAGTGATACTGCACATGTAGGTACTTTATAATGCAATCAGATATCAGCAAACAATGTAAATAAAGTTTTAAATAAGCAGTCTACTAAGGTTTGTAACCTTAAAGGGGTCATATGATGCTACTTTCTGGTTAATATTAGTGTTAACTGCCTCTACTATGACATGTCTCCATGCTTTAATGTTCACAAAGCTCTTTATTTGTCTCATACTGCCTGTGCTGCAGCACCTCTTTTCACCCTCTGTCTGAAACCAGAGCCCAGTCTGCTCTGATTGGTTAGCTGGGTTAGGGTTAGGCCGGCTCCGTTTTGATTGGTCAACCGCTTAGAGATGTCCCGCCCTTAGCCTATCACGTACAATGTGTTGGAGTGCTAGCCAATAGAAGTGCAAGTGTTACAAAGTGATGTCACTATGATAAGGAAGTAAACAAAGGAGTCCGACAGAGGCGTTTCAGGCATTTTATAATATTTGTTGCACTGTTTTTCCATCTACTGTTTGCATCAAAACACACAACTTAAATGAATAGTAAATACTTGATTGGAATAGTTTTTCAAATATTTGCTTCGATTAAAAATGGGCAAAAGTAGTTTGGATTTTCATTCCCTGCCTGGTGCTAGAGTTGGAAGTTAAACAGGACATCATATTATTTTTTCTCTTCAACATTTACTTTAACTATCGTTTTTAATCAAGTTTCTTGCCAACAACTACATTTCAGAAGACAACATTTGAACACATCATGCCTACAAAGATGTAGACAGTGGTTTGAATTTAGAGGTCGGTCTGCACACACACGTCAATCTGTCATTGTGATCTAGATGTGCCTATAGAGTGTGTGTGTGTGTGTGTTATCAGATGCAGGGTGGGTGTGAAGGTCGCTGTGAATCATGTGGCCATCAGAGGACAATAGAGCAGCTGCGACAAAGAGACCGGAGCAGGACTGATGGAGACGGATGGAGACGGATGAGAGAGAGTTGACCTCTGCTAGCGCTCTGCAAGGTCAACGGTACAACTCTGAAGGAGCATGTGTGGTCCTCCTTTACGTATCATTGATCCTGATTTAATTTCTGATTAATCTAATGGATGCTGTGTCTTATCATATCCTTGTGCAAAGTCTTCTCTTATTAGCAGAGTAGGAAAACAGACTTAAACATGGATGAGGACAAACTCCTGCTAAATATATAATACATAATATTCTCAGCAGATTTACACCACTTGAAACTGACATTGTATTGCATTTCCTTGTAGTTCTGAGTATGTATCTTTATGGCTTATTGCACTTATTGTAAGTAGCTGTGGATAAAAGCGTCAGCTAAATTAAATGTATCATAGTCGTAGGAATGTTTTACCGAAGACATTGCAAAAGACTGGTTAAAATACGGCTAAAATGGGGCTGCATCATTTGGGAAAAATGTAGTAATTGGG